CGCATCACCTGCAGGGATGAAAAACAGCGAGGGCTCAGCCGCATTGATCTGCCCGAGTCTATCTTGAGGCGGAAATTGAGCAAACTGACTTGTAGCAAGGCGGCGATTCCCTCCAAAGCTTGTGGAGACGCTTCCTCGCTGTCTGCGTGGCGGGTAAACACAATACCGAGCTCCTCCCAGAAGTCTGCCACAAGTCCTTGAAAGACATCCCTGTGTCCTTTAGATTCTCCGCTTGCCCTCTTCTCCCAGGAAACGAGCATTTCAGTGACCAACAGGAACAGCGGACCATTCTGAAGTGTGGGGTTCTCAAAAGCCTTTTCAAGTAGCGGCAAGAGCTAATCGAGGAAAGGGCAAAGGTGGACAATTAAGAAACTTTTTTTTTTTTTTAACGTGGTGAAAAACAGCAAATTCAACTGTTTAATTTTCACCTGCTGTGAAATAAGCATGGTCCGGATTTTGCACTGATCTTCTTCCTCCTGTGCTGAATGGCACAGAATGCAGAACCTCAAGCACTCTACGGTAGCAGTCACAATAACGGCACTTTCTGAGGGGCTATTGGCTGCACGCTCACTGGAAATGCTAAACATCGAACACACAATAAAAGGGTAACGGGGGTGAGTCATGATTTCTTGAGATTGTCAATGCAGCAATCGGGGATTTTCCAACATACATGAAGAACATTCGGAGGAGGCTGCCTGTGCCTGATTTCGAGCCGTCTCTGGTTCTTAAAGCTCTGACATCTAGAAATCCACTTTTTATTCTTTTTTTTGTTTTGTTTTGTTTTGCTCCGTTATTTGACCAACGTGGAAAAAGCTATCAATGAAATTTCACACAACCATCTTCAACTACCATTTAACAGGGCCACAATTAGCAAAGTGGAACTTGATTAATGTTAACTGTAGATGCAAGCACTAGTGATATTCAATTTTTCATATTTTAGTGTCATATATAACTTAAATGAAAATGTTAAACAACAACAAAAAAAAAGCATTTAAATACGTTGGGGAAAAAAAAAAGCTGTGGTGCATGGTATAGGCCAGCAGGCCAATGATCAGTATGTTACAACCTCTGCCTCAATTGAAGTGGAACTTGATTAATGTTAACTGGAGATGCATGCACTAGTGATATTAAATTTTTTTTCAGATTTTAGTGTAATATATGACTTAAATGAAAATGTTAAACAACAACAAGAGCATGTAAATACATTGGGGAAAAAAAGCTGTGGTGCTTGGTATAGGCCCGCATGCCAATGATCAGTATGTTACAACCTCTGCCTCAATTTGAGCCAGGGGGAAAAAAAAAGGTAATATTGTTAATGGCGTACCGGCTTAGAGAAGAGACTGCAAATAATTGGGCCACAGACACTGCTTATAAAGATAAGGATTTCTGCGCGAGACCAGGAATATTATCAGAGACCCAGACAGCAGCATTAAGACCAGGAGCTGCATTATATTATCTTGTCCAGACACTTTATCTGGGCAATGTCACCTTTAGTCAACCTCTCCTCATACATACATATTATTAAATGAGATCCTGATGGTTCTCCCTGTTCCAAAAGTCCCTCATGCCTGCCCAATACAATTTTAATTGCAAAAGTGAAGAACACTTTTGTACTGATATATTTTTGTAATAACGATTGATTATCTTTTAATGTTCTGAACTGCTGTTCCCAAACCAGTGCTGTACGGAGCAGAATAATGCTGGCCAGAGGGATCGTGTTCTTGTTCGCCTTTGAATAGGAAACGAGTTGAGACTGAACCAACGACCCCTCTGCTGGTTGCAACCAAGGAATGCACCCGATTTGCCTCAGTTACTTCAACGCGATACACTTCTCTCACGAGAAAGTACTGGTTCCACCAATACAGGACTCAGCAATTGTTTTGTTTGCGTTGTAGTATTTGCTTTAATAGAATTGTTTAGTATCCCTGGATAGCACAATTTACTGTGTACCTCGCAGAATGACAATAAAGCTTGATCACACTGTCATGTGGAATGAAAGCAAAGTGGAAGACTTACCCATGTATGAGTGAGGTGAAGAAAGTAGTGTGGAACTCCAAGGCTGGGTCGGTGACTTGTTGAGGCAGTTTGCTAAGTAATGGCATCAAATTGGGATGAAGGGCTTTAGCCATGCCTTTGCCCCCTTCTTTTAAGAGAGACCAAAGTTTTGGCAGGAAGCCCTTCTTTGGGTTCACGTGTGTCCAGCAGTCCTGCAAAAGCAAAGATGTTCAGGCGGTTTCAGCCTTAGACACACAAGTGGGCCCAGGCAAAATAAAATGATCTAGGCATTACATCAAAAGTGGCCACTGAGACAAGCAGTGTAAATGAAGCTTTCAGGAGCAAAATATCCTAGAAAAGAGGTGCTTACAGATATGGAGGACGCTACATGGAGAACAGACTCCCACACGGCAGGTAGCACCAGCGGATCCGTGTCGTCGACGCTGAGGAGAACAGCTGGGCAGAGACGCGGTGCCTCACTTTGCGCAAGGCTTGGCGTCAACTCACACACAGCGCAGAGCATCTCGAAGAAAGCTCCTCTTACCTGTGAAGTACCCATTTTACTTACTACTCACTCTGGGTCTATACTAATTTCAAGCCAAGAAAGAGGATCAGTCTGAAACACATTTCAACCCATAATGCTTTTTGTGAACGAGACCTGCGGTGCCTTGTGTCTGCTGTACTTCCAGAACTTGGCAGGGTTGACAAGATGAGCTAGTCTGTGCTCCATGGCGGCCATGTCATTCTGGGGCAGCAGGGAGAGCAGTCTCTTCACCCCGAGAAGAGAGCTGGTCAACATGCGCAAATATTTGGCTTCTCGCTCATCCTCGTCACGGTCCTGGCAAAAGAAAAAAAAAAGTGACATTTCTATTTAACATGACGAACAGCAGTGGCATCAGGATGACTGAGGTTGACTTACTGAGGATCACTGTCACGGTCCTGGCAAAAGAAAAAAAAAAAAGGTGACATTTCTATTTAACATGACGAACAGCAGTGACATCAGGATGACTGAGGTTGACTTACTGAGGATCACTGAGAGTGTCTGCAGTATCCTTTAATAAAATATCTTGAAGTACCTGCAGTATGACAAAAAGGGTTTCAGAAATATGATGCGGAATGAACCTCTCCTCTTTAAAAACACCATTACCACTCACATTAAGGATCTCATCTTTGCAAAAGCTGAGGGCTTCAGGCTGCTTGGCGGCCGAGAAGGCGGCCTGGAAAGCTCGGCGTGCGGCGGAAGCTGCCGGTGTGTAGGTGTCGCATTGGGACAGGATCCAGTGGCCCATCAAGCTCTTCAGGAAGGGAGCCAAGCTGCGGTGCACCTTCAGCACCAGCTGCTCAAGAGCCAGCTGGGTGGCCTCTCTGATGCGCCGATCATGGTCCTAAAAGACACACACACACACACACACAAAAAAGAAAAATAGTAGCCCATTTGCAACAGACATTGCATTAAATGTCTCACCAGTTCTGTCTTTAAAAAGAAGATCAGACTTAGTTGTGATTGACATTCGGAGCCGTAATACTTGTTTACTTTTGTAATAAAGGTGTGTCATACAAAAGGAGCAATAGTTTTGACGGCCTAGGGGAAGAAAGAGAATTTTTGACACGAGTGTCAAGTAATGCTGGATGAGCTACTCACCACCGAAATCTTGCAGTATATTCGAGGCCAATACGGAAGAACCCCTTTCACATCTTCAGCGCCACGCTCCTGACACATGGATCCAAAGTCCTGCACAGCCTGGAAAAAGCAAAAGACCTCAGTAGATACATTGTGAAATTTGAACACCATCTAGCCATCTATTCGATAATTTTCTGCATGACTTGTTATCTTTAGGGCCATGTCAAAGTTAAAGACATTTGTGCTGCAGAGTGCATGGTGTTGTAATGCTGATAGTATGTGTCATAATATTTCTCTAATATTCCGTTGTCTCTGTTGGACACTTTCAATGCATTAACTTACCTTCAGTCTGGTGACGACATCCCTTTTGGAAAGTTTCCTAAGCACGAGTCTGAAGTCTGCATCGACAAGGGTGTCCAGCTCCTCAGCGCCATGGAAAGCAGGCACGTAGCTCAACTCCGAAGAAAGCGTTGTATCGAAACCGACGAACCCCGGGATGGCGCCACCTTCCCGGGTCAACACCTCGGCAGCCCGGCCGCTACTTGACGGCTATAGTAAGAATAGGTAAAGCTGTAGTTTAAGTGGAGAACAGAAAACCAAAACAAAACATGACAGTAGTAATGCCGTAAATGTCGACAACTGTACAGTACTGAACACTGGGGCAAAAGTAAACAGACATGTCTAAGAAATCCAAATGATTTTCTTCATCGGTAATGCCCTAAAACGTCTTATCAATTGCATTCGTTCATGGATTTTGGCTCAAGTAAACACAGTGACAGGTAAACGGAACTTACCCGAACGTTTCCTTTAGTTCGTTGTTTATTTTTGCCCCCCATTGAGTGCTGAAAATGATGTAAATTCGGTAATCTTTATTATAGCCACGAAAAAGTTAAGAGTGCCTTGATACACAACATGCTACATGTGAGGATACGGAAATGGATTGGTTTTAAACATTTTCAAAATAAAACCATAGCCAAGCAGACTGCTGCATTTAAGATGTTTGTGAAAGGTTTAGGATCATTCTCAGTGACATTTATCGGTCAAACTATAAAAATAACTTCTTACGATCCAGCGTAATTCAACCACCCTCGTTTTTGGCGTACAGGTTTTACTGTATCATGTTTCGTATTTACACTGAAATGTCCTTCTTTAACAGGACGAGTCACTTCCGTTTACTGCAACGCACAATGTCCTGTGACCGGTGAGCTAGCTGTACAGTATTTAGAAGAGGTGATGTGGTGCCCTCACGGACAATGCACCATGCACCATATCTAGAAATTTTCAGCACAAACATACATACACAAAATCAAAACACACTTCATTGCAATGATTTTTTTAAATGAATGCTTCATCTTCACTTAAATCGAAAACATCTGTAGGCAAGTATGAGTGTAATAAACAGATTTTATTACTATGATGTCATCTTTTCAACAATGAATAACCTAACAGAGGTCACGTGTGTCGAAAGCTGTCTCGGAGTGTTGGGTGTAAAATATTCAGAAACAAACTGGATTTTCACAGCCCAATTTTACATGACCAATTGTGGTCCACTTGAGAATAAACCAGCAGATAAAACTCATTTCTGTAAAATATGTTAAAGTCACTTCAAATGTTATACGGTTTTTGGCACACGCTATGAATGTATAGGGGTAAACAGTTTTCCAACCTGTGGATGCGTTGAGTAAAACCGTTCCTGCAGCTATGTAAACTGAAACCCAACAAACAAATATAAAATTAGTTTCTTTGGACAGGTGGTAAACATTAGACAAACATTTAATTGTGCCGTTAACTCAAACAATTCCACTATTTGGACTGGTCTACATCTGTCATGGTAATATCAAACAACAAATGAAAATAATGTGACGTTCCTCCCGTCCATTTTGGTCAATCAAAGTCTAACAATAACAAAGTAATTTATGATGCATTATATTCTGTTCCGTTCAGATGTTAAAGGAGACATGATTTTTTTTTTTTATAATTAAAAACAATTCCCACGTGTCTTAGTGACATGTCTGTGACAATTTCTCATCAAAATACCTCAAACAGCAATTACAGATTACTTGGCTGTGCATTTTTACACCGAATGGGTTTATATACAAGTCATTAAAAAGTCAATTTTCCATATGTCCCTTTCAGACAAAGTAATTTCAAACTGCACTACTGTGTCATCAATGGTGAAAATGTGACATGAACTCCAGTCAAATTTGACTGTCGTTGTAAATTATTGTTGATTAAAATGAAAATAATGCACTGTGCCCATGAGTGTAGGGTGCGACCCCTTTTGCTATCAGGGGCCAGGTGGTCATACAATATTTTTTAAAAATGATTTTGCAATGAGCAAAATTATTTGTTATTTATTATAGATGCTGAGCATTTGTGGCTGTTTCTTTGCAGCAGATGCTCAGGGTTTCATCTGTTTTTAGAATTCAAGGTTGGACGGAACAAATTCTTTCATGGGCCATGTTTCCCATTCCTGAATGACTGGGTTGAGTTCGTCTAAACACCAATCATATACCTGTATGTATAAATTACGCAGTCAACCACACTGTTCACTGATGGATTATCTGATTTTTCCAAATGTTATTAATGTAAAGAAAACATAAACATTAGTTTGATCGTTAAAACAACAATTCCAAACACTCAACACGCTTGGCTTGCGATAAAATTCGAGGGGAACCTGAGAAAGAAAGATGTGAGTGGTGGAATGCTACAACCTTGACGGCCATTTTATCCGAAAATTGCATAAATGGTCACTGCACAGTTTCATTAGCTCACAGAGTAGCGCTACGCCGTCATACGCATCAATCACATCTGGCCAACTCCCTCCCCAGAACAGGCTGGTCAAGATGTCCTCCAAATAACACATCTCTTAGCAAAAGATGACCATTTCTAATCACCTCAGCCCTTCCTCCCACACACTTGACCCGCGTCATCCAAGCTGAACGTCGCCCCCTGGTGGAAGCACTGTTTGGCTGGGCACCGAAACATAGCGTGGGTCCAGTTGGGGCGCAAACCCCTGAAATTGCCTGGAGGCCTGAGTGCCAAAAACATCGAGCAGCTGTCGATTCATCAGGCCAAACCTACAAGGCAAAATATGATCATATAAGTCGTATGACAAGCATGAGCAATTTAACACAGGGATTGTGGTATTGCAGGAGCAGGGAACCTTCTGCACTGAAGCATCATGACATTTTTAAAACATGCATACATGTCAACTCATGAATAAATAAAATGTGTACATAAAATAATTTTAATCGAGTAATCATGATTGCTCATTGTAAAATGGTATTCACAAAGAATTTAATCATAATTAAGTCACCAATTATGTGATGATGAAAACAAAACAGTGGGTAAAACCGCATTTTGGTAAAATAATCCATGCTCATTTTAAAAACAAATAAATAATTTCAATAGAATTAATCAACCATTTATTTATATTAAAAATGTTGCATTTATTATTTTACTACTGTGTATTTTATGCTAAACTGTATTCTAATAATAATTAGATTGTACTATTTGCCATTAAAAAAAAGATTATTTGCGATAAATGACTACAAAATAAACTACAAAGCAATGCATGCATTTTAATTAGCCAACTTTAGGGAGAAAAGAAAAAAAAACAATTAAATAAATGCAAACATTCGTGACAACCTAAATGCTTGCTGTGCTATAATAAAGAACGTCGCAGGCCGTATGTGGCCCTTGGACCAAACTTTGCCCGCCACTGGTTAAAATCAATACTCTCCTTTTGGATTTGCCACTTACAACTGAAACAAATCCATCCTACCTGCCCTTAGTGAGACGCAGAAGAAACTTCCAATAGGCGGGCCGAAGATTCTGCATCTCCATCACAGCCTAATAAATGACCACAATTCCTCGTCACATATCCCGTTGATGAGATCCACTTTGGTGTGTTGTGTTTGGATGTCACTCACAGCTTGAAAGCAGATGGCGGTGGAGATGGCGTAGAGATATGTGTCCGCTTGTGGGAAGTACGGGAAATGGCCAGCCTCGATGCCCTTGAAGTACAAGGTCTGAGAGAGAGGGGAGGTTATCGCGTGTACTGTTATTGATCAACTCCAAATAATGGATACGTGTCAGAGGAACAAGCAAACATTGTGCGGACGTGGACGTCTTCTTCAAAGTGTGCCGCAAAAACTTGCGTTTGATGCCTCACTTAGAATGAGACACTAACAAATGGCAACAAAAAAAAAAAGGTGAACGTGAGTCTTATGCACTGAACCTACAGTAAGGAAATACATTCCATCCAAGAGGAAAGTGAGGCCAGCAAAAATGAATATTTTAATTTGATTTAATTAATTACTTTTCCTTAACTACAAAACCTTGGTTCTCACTTCCCACAAATCTCAACACAAATTTGTCTCTTTTTACCTCCACCAGCTTAGAGAAGAGATACATGGATATCGACGTGCTCTTGTAGAAGAACATGGAGATACCCGCCAGGAATCCTGGCAAGACCGATGAGAAACATTTGCGTTGTTACACAATAAGAATGGATTATCTAAACGCGATAAGTGTTGACTTACCGGCCACCAAAGCGTGGAGCTCGTCGTCAATATCCCGCAACCAACGAAGCAAGCAGCTTGCTCCCTGAATGGACCAGAAATAGAGTTCAAAAAAAAAAAAAAAACTGACCAGGAAATGGCATATATTAAACAAACATGTACCTTGTAGATGCTGACAAAAGAGCCCAAAAAGGCCCCAAGCTGGAAGTTGTCTTTGTTGTAGAAGAGGGAGGGGAGCCGTGAGGGTTTCGAGAAGAGGTACCGGAAAGCTGAGGGCACTTTAAGGCAGCACTGAATCAAGTAGCCGACGCTGAACATCCTCACAAAACCCTAAGCAGAAAGTGTCTCACGTAAATGAGGAACCGGAAGTAGGGAATGCAAGCGTCACATAAGCACAGAGACTTACTTTAATGCAATAGGAAATGCAGTTGTCTTGATGATGTTTACAGCATCTGTGTTTTGGACCTCGTTTACATCTGGATAATTGCACGGATGCAAAGATGAATACAAAAAAAAACAAAAACAAGAACACAATTGAGTAGGAGTTTGAGAGGGTTCCCTCACATTGACTCCAGCAGTTCTCTGGCGTAGGCCAGCAAAGATTTGCTCCTCGAGTCGATCCGCATTACTGAGGCATGTGAAGGCTCTGAGGCAGCCAACGCCTCTCGGGGACTTGCGGCAACCTGCTCGGCCGGAACAGAGTGAGATGGGATCTCTTCCTTGCCGATGATGAATCTGAAAGTCGGAGAATATGCACACGCATGATGACATTTTTATAGTTCAGGCTGAATTAAAAACAGTAAAGCAAGGCAGAGTCACTTACTTCAATGCGGAAAATGCAAAGCCTTTAAGGCCATCTTTACTCCTGCGGGATAATAAAAACACAATTTGATGTAAATAATCATCTTAAGCCCATTCCACTGAGAGGAACTGACCTGAAGAAGAACATGTAGAGGGATGCAGTTATGCAGAAGAGGAGCACCTAAACGGGGGGAAAAAAAGAAGAGTCCAACTGGTTAGAAAAGGTTTGCCAATCACCAAAACCTAAACTCATTTGTCTCTGACCTCGCCATGTTTGATAGGTGTGATGAGGCCCCGTGTCACGGCCATGCGGAACAAGGTCTCAGTTGCCTGCAAACCAACAACACATACTCATTCACACATCACTACTTGTTTGTGTCTTAATTTTCACCGGACAAATGCGCTGCATTATTAACATGAATTTTAAAAAAATGGACACCAACATATGCAGATGGTCTGTATTAACATGGGAGGAAGTTTCACGTTCACCAGCATGTGTTCATCTTAAGGCATCCTCAGCCTTATTTAAAATAATCACGTTGTACTTTTGATTGAGCATTTGAGTAAATACAGTGTCTTTAAAAAAAAAAAGTTTCATGAACACTGCAGTACTTACGAGATTTGTCATGTATATAGTGAGAAGCCCTCTCCTGCATAAGGAAAGTTTGTCATCAAAAGACAGAATTAAGACACAGACCCCACAATTTGTGCAGTATTGATTGGGACAAACTTAAAGAGTAACAATCTCACCTGCTCTTACGCTCCAGGAGGATAGCGATATAGGAGGCGGGCAGAGCTGAGCCAAACCCAGCGGACCATGAATAAAACCCTCCCAGCAGTTTCCTTCAGTGGAAATATTCGTATTGTTATGTGAACGTGAGCGCGAAACATCTTCACAGCACTTGATAGTGTTGCCATTTTCCAATGGATTCAGTGAAATGAAATGCGGTTGGGAAAGGTGAGCTTTTATCTCAATTAGGTGGTGATCTAGAATGATAAAGAAAGTGAAAGCTGCCGGAGAAAACTCACCTGAGAATGCAGAAGAAGAATATATAGAGACCTCCATTGGCAGTGAGGAAAGAGGTAGATTGTAAGATCTCAGGAAGGAGCCTTTTTAAGTAGTAATCCTTCTTCCTTCTCCTAAGAATAGCTGCTATCTGTTGGGTGATAGAGAGGGAGAGAGTAATGCCAGTATCGAGCCACTGACTTCACCGGGGTTGAGTGAACAGTGTGTTTGCATTGGCAACGCTCATCGTCAGTGCATGGTGTGTTTTTGACAATAATGAGTGTCCTTGTCAGTGTGAGAATGTTTAAAAGAACGAGCCTGAATTGGATTTGAGAGATGCTTCTAATCACATTATTTTTGACATTTGCTTCAGACGCGAGGCCGGACTTGTTGAGCACCTCCACGGTCTTTTGGCGTCACAAATGTGGGTTAGCGGAGTTTCAGCCGGACTGTCAAACATTCCCACAACTCGAGTTTGCTAGGCTAACGTTAGCTTCCTACGTATGTGCGGTGAAATGGCACGACTCACCACGTAAAGCGGGGCGTATATTTTGAAGGAGACCTCCAGCGCACCCCTCGTTATGTCCACGGTGGACTGCATACACGACGGGTTCCAAGTGTGACCGACTTCATAGCAGTTGCATGTTATTTTGCTGAGGGCAGCCATGGATGTCTTGCTTGTTAGCCAAGTGACAGCCGGAAGGGGCGGGTGCGCGCTCACGTTGCGCGGCCCCGCTCGGTATGATTTTTTTTTTTAAATTGGGATATTATTTGGAACAGCAACTATTTTAGTCAGTTAGTGTTTTTAAAAATGCAAACTTCACTACTGCAGGATTACATATGGGCAAATACATATTATATAATCATATTTCTGTGAGCCTTTTATCAAATTGTGTGAATATATCTACAGACGCATCGCAAAAAATGAAAGTGAAAATCATACATTACATATTCAATCCACACATATTTTGAATAATGTTGATGATTGCACCTCTTTTCGACTTTAATCTAAGTCACTGAAAAGAAAAGTTACAGACCTCATCAATCTTCATGTGGAAATTTGACAGTCAATTCACCAATTCCCATGACTCGTGACTGTGCACTTTCACATAATTGCAACCATTACATTAATTTCCCAGGAGGACATCACAATCTGTCAAAATGATCGTAAAAAGATTGTGCGTGTGTCTGCGTGTGCGTGTGTGGGTGTGCGTCCGTGTGTCTCCGCGCTTGTGTGTGTTTTATGCATCATTCTACGGAGGCGGTCGCTGCTTTCCTGCCTCAATAGACTGACTGTTTTCATTCGCACACACTCTCAAGTCCTCTGACCTGTTACGTTCACTAAACGCGCTTCCCCACTGAAACCGTCCGTGTGGATTGTCGCCTCTTTTTTGTTTCTTTTGCGGTGAACATCTCTCGGCTCCCGCGCGACCATGGAGCGGACCTGGACCGCATTATTTGGCTATTTATTGTTTATCTTGTGTCTCACCGCGGAGGGGACGCGGGGCCGAGAAAGGGTCTATTATGTGGGGGTCATCGAGGACTTGTGGAATTATGCGCCAAGTGGAAAAAACCTGCTGAACAACGTGGACGTCGCAAATGATGAGTGAGTGGATCACGGGTTCTTTTCATGCTGTCAAAAGCCCAAACACAAGTTTTTCTTTAGGAGCTGGAGGATGTATATTGAGGTCACCAGTGACTCAGAGGAACGTGTTATAACACACAAAAGGGGTCAAAGACAGACAATTTGACCTCTTTCGCTACTATCTTTCTCTGTTGTCATTGACTATAATAAAACACTCGTCTCTCATATTATAACTTGGACTTTGAGGGGGCACCTGCAGCAATGTTCTTTCCCTTTTCGCTTAACAATCATATAGTTGACTGTATTTACAGAAGTACATTACAGGTACCGGTATATAACAACCGACCCCTGCCCCTGACCTGACAAAAAGCCTTCAATACTTCACAAATGCAACCTACAGTGGTTCCACCATCTTCAAGCCAAAGTCGTGAGCGAGGCAATGAGTAAAACGATGAGCTGAATGTAGCAGAATAATAGGCGGAAATAAATGTGCACACACTTAACCTTCGTGGCTGACCAGTTCCTGCTGCACCAAAGCATTACAGAGACACATGACTCAAATGTATCTAGCGAGCGCTTTTCAATTTATTGTCTAAAAATTATAGAGACTTTGAATCTTGTGGCAACATGATGCCACAGGGCTCCCGCAAAGTGAGAAAGGATTGGCATGAAATGATGTCAATGAAGTTACACACTGTGATGTCAGTCATATAGTAAAGGTCAAAGTCCCCACTCCAACCTACTGCCACAACCTGCTACTAAAAAAAAAAAAAAAAAAAGTATTTTTGGGGTGCGTCATTCATTTATTCAAGTGTCCACCATGTACTGTGGCTATCAGGGAAGAGCTAGGACTGTCTCAACATTCTTTATGCTCCTGTTTGAGCATGCCAGAGGAGGGTGATTACATAATACTGGACTTTTTTGAGTAACTTGATCAGCCAAACAACTCTTCTTCCCCCCAGAAGCCAGCATTCACTGTGGTCAACATTTTTTGGGGCTGGTGTCAGACTAAGCATTTATAGCGTAGGCTGTTTTGAACTTTCGACACATTTTGATTTCCTGATTCAGTTTCAACATTTTGGCCACATGGAAAAGGTCTCTCCCCCTTGGTGAACCAGGTTGACGGTGACGTACAATGCATTCAATTTATTGTGCAGCATAAGAGCAACCTTTGACCTGTGACTCATTTCTTAGAGTTTCAGCGATTGACAAGGAATGAAGATAAATTATAGCCTTTGTAAACAATTCTGATTTATGATTCCTTTGTATTCAATTGTGAGTCGTGACTCAACACACTTTCAAAAATTCAATTCGTTGTGGAGCGCCCTGTGTGGTTTCTGCACTCTGCATGATAGGCGGGTTGCCAGGTTTGCGTGCTCTACGAATTAAAGAAAAAAAAACTTTTCTTTCAAAAACAAAAAATGGCACACTGGAATGTAAACAATGTACAAATGTAAATAAGCAAGACTGGTTAAGTCTAACGATCAACTTACTCAAGTCGAAACTGAAAACTAAATTGAAAACAAATCAAAGTCGAGACTTTCCATGACCCATTTCCTAAAATTATCGACTGAAGTTTAACTCTCATCCCCCATCTCTAGTTATACTTTGCATGAAACATGAATCTGTACTTCTGTATACATTATTAACATCGAACAATTTCTTAACAATCGTAAGGACTCTTCCGCTGTCTTCTTCTGGTGTGATATGAGATGTAGTGGTTCACATAGCTGACTCTTGTCGGATCAATTTCAGAACATTCGCCCATTTACGAGAAATCTCACTTCTACGTGATAAATTTCAGGCATGCATCAATTTTTCTGGAGAGAGGACCCCAGCGTATTGGCAGTGTTTATAAAAAGGCCATGTTCCGACAGTACACCGATGCCACATACAGCCAACAAGCCCCCCGGCCCACCTGGTTGGGCTTCCTGGGACCAATACTGCGAGCGGAGGTCAACGACATCATCGTGGTCCATTTGAAGAACATGGCATCCAGGAACTACTCGATGCATCCCCATGGAGTTTTCTATGAGAAGAACATGGAAGGTGGATTTGAAAGAGAATATGTAATGAATGACTTGTGTGTATAGTAGAAAAACAGTTGTGTCACTTAAGTTCCTGTCGACGCTTCTAGTGTAAAATTAAACAGCTGCCAGTGCTGAAAATGTGCCTATAAGCGAGCACTTTACTTTTTATTAAACCTTTTGGGAATGTTTACATTGTGGGGGGGGAAAAATGCTCATTACTCTACTTTAATGCCTCAAGTCGATATGTAATGAATGACTTGTGTGTATTGTAGAATAACAGTTGTGTCACTTAAGTTCCTGTCGACGCTTTTAGTGTAAAATTAAACAGCTGCCAGTGCTGAAAATGTGCCTATAAGCGAGCACTTTACTTTTTATTAAACCATATGGGAATGTTTACATTGTGGGGAAAAAAATGCTCATTACTCTACTTTAATGCCTCAAGTCTAAAATTGAATTTGTGACAGGCACATGAAAAAAACAGGACAGCATTCCAGAACTTGATGTCTGTTTTGGAGATAAGAAAACTCCCAGGACAACAATGCTCGAGTATTTTTGAAGCCTTTGTTTGGCAACAGGTCCCCATCCCCCACTTTTCAGGAGAGAGCGGGTGGCTGCCATTCAGATTCCTCTTGGGAACTGAAACCGAGTATTTACCCAGAAAGCAATAAGACAAATAACACTTCAGAAACCTTTGCCTTGCTTTGAGCTCTTGATAAGGCACGCCTAAGTCAGAGCCTTTTTTCAATGTTAATAAGAGGGGAAGGGGGTTTGCGGTTTTGAGGGAATGAGGATAAAGAGGAAGGAGGGTTGCTTTCTTGCCACACTTGAAAAAAAAATACTGATATAATCAGCACATTCTAAGGAACAACAGTGTCAAGTACACTGTGGCATAGCTAACTATTGAGATGCTGACAGAGCACATAAATCATATTTCAATCAAGGAAATGGTCATTATTTTCATTTAGGATGGAACCATATACAATCTATGAAGCCCACATAATATGTACGGTAAATTCTAAATGTAAAGTGAAACTGACTTTTTCTTGTTGTTGCTGTTGGCCTCCCAGGAGCGCTTTATCCAGATGGAACATCTGGTCACCTCAAGCAGGACGACTCTGTACCACCAGGGGGAAGCTACACTTACCGCTGGGAGGTCAGGCCCGAATTTGCTCCGACTGATGACGACGCCAACTGCTTGACCTGGGTTTACCATTCTCACTTGGAAGCCCCCCGGGATATCGCCTCCGGACTTATCGGGGCTCTGCTTACATGCAAGAAAGGTATAGAGGCCCTTATTAAATAGGGGCAGTGTAAATAGAGCCAGGACAGTATCTGATCTCTCATTCATCAGGGATCCTGAAGCAGAGTAGTGAAGAGGGCATAGATCGCAATGATGTGGCCCAGGATGTCTTCCTGATGTTTAACATCGTGGATGAGAACCTGAGTTGGTACCTCGAGGACAACATTCAGAGATGTATTGATCCAGCTGGAGTTGACCGTGAAGACGAAGACTTTGTGGAGTCAAACCTGATGCATGGTAACATATTTTCTGTACCTAATGCAACATGTTTGTTTCAACCATCTCCTTCCCTCTGACCTTTCCTTGTCCCCTTGTGTAATAGCCATTAATGGGTACATGTTTGGTAACCTGCCCGGAATTGAGCTGTGCCAGCACCGTGCAGTGTCTTGGCATTTGTTTGGCATGGGTAACGAGGTGGATATTCACTCTGCCTTTTTCCATGGAAATACCTTACTGGACCGTGGCCACCGAACCGATGTGCTCAGCCTTTTCCCAGCTACTTTTGCTACAGCTGAGATGATCCCGACAGCAGGGGGCAAATGGCTGCTGACCTGCCAAGTTAATGACCACCTGCAAGGTAGGGCGCTTGACCTTTACCCCCCCTCCCCATCTGGTCCCGTACTGTAAACATGAGAAAGTTGCACTGTATCTTATGGCTGTTCAAAGTAAGGGAAGTGATTAAAGTCTACATAGTGTAAATGTACAAAAACCAAGGAAGTGTGATTCCTTTGTAACATTAGCATACTGATGGTGAAGATATTTTGTTTTTAATACCGTAGATATATCACTCAAACATTTTAGTTACGAGATTAACGCGAGCTCAAACAGGAAAACAACACAATAAAAGTGAAGAGTTTGATTGTCATCTCGGTATGGAGTCTCCAAGACATCCCAAGCGTGTGTCAAATGTTTCTCTCCTATTGCAGCTGGGATGCAGGCTTTTTATCAAGTGAAGTCATGCGGCAATGAGACCAGTTCCACAAAGATGAGTGGCATTGTCAGGAATTACTATGTGGCAGCAGAGAAAGCCTTGTGGAGCTATGGTCCTTTGGAAACAGATCTGATCCAAAATGTTTCCCTCACTGATCCCGACAGGTGAGGCCCATATTGCCGAGGACAGCCTCGTCATCCTTTATTATCATTTATCGAATTTTTATGTTTGTACAAAGTCCAGCAAAATTTGCTTACATGCCTTTTTTCCAGTCCATCAGAGACATTTTTTGGTAAAGATGGAGGTCGGATCGGCGGTACCTACATGAAGGTGACATACAAAGAGTACACAGACGATACTTTCAGCACGGAAAAATTACGGAGTACTGATGCTCTCCACTTAGGAATCTTAGGTGATGCATTCCCGTTCCTCACAGGAGAAATTTGAATCCCTCCCCTAACCCGTCATTGCATAATCGTGTCTGCCTCCAATGTTCCCTCAAGGTCCGATCTTGAGGGCGGAGGAAGGAGATACCCTACGAGTGACCTTCTTGAATCGGGCTGATAGAAACTACAGCATTCATCCTCATGGCTTGCACTATGAAAAGCGCTTTCAAGGAAGTAGCTATAATGATGGTGAGTAAAAAAAAAAAAAATCATAAAAATAAGACACACTATGGTAAACGGGTGTGACAGCTGCAGTTCTTTCTGTGAATAAGGTGTTGACAAACCTGGCGCTCACGTCGCTCCGGGGGAGACTTTCACCTACACCTGGCAGGTGCTGGAAGGCCCATCATCCTCTGACTCTCCCTGCATCCCTTATTTGTACTACTCTGCAACAGCGCCTGTTGAGGACACCAACTCGGGATTAGTGGGACCTCTGCTCGTGTGCTCCAGAGGAACATTGGGGGAAAACGGAACTCAGGTTACTCAGCATGAAAAAAATTTCCATTTGCAGTTGGAAATGGGGTAGAACTACAACATACTAAAAACATGTTTGTCATATTTTTACGTGATTAGGTGGAGGGTAAAATAAGTTGGGGGAAAACAGAACTCAGGTTACTCAGCATGAAAAAGATTCCATTTGCAGTTGGAAATGGGGCAGAACTATATTTTTATTCATATTTTTACGTGATTAGGTGGAGGGTAAAATAACACGGCTCGATCTTGTGTTGGATCACATGATACCGTGATGGTAATGTTTTGACCTCTGTTCACATTATTGACAGAAGGGTGTGGACAAGGAGTTCTTTCTTCTGTTTTCTGTCATGGACGAAAACCTTAGCTGGTATTTGAATGAGAACATCGACGCATTTGGCACCAATGAGTCGAAAGTAGATGATGAAGACTTTCAGGAGAGCAACAAGATGCATGGTGAGCAGTTCATAATTGTGTACAGATGCCACAATATAGCGGCAACGCACTTCAAATGGTGAAGATCATAAAGCATCAACACCGTGCATCTAGCATGTGCACAACAGTGAACCCATGTTACATAAACGACTGGATGAAGTTTAAAGCCACATCCACAGTTGTAAGAGCGTGTGCACACTTGCACAATCACATAATCTCCATTGTTTACTTTTACTTCCCCTCGCTGAAAGATTTCAGTCTTTTCCATTGAGTTGTACAGATTTTTTTTGGTCTTTTTTTTATATCATAAAAAGCTGGCATTTGAACAGAGGTGTGTAAAAATGTTTATATCCATCATATTGGGGGAACACTGGACCTTTCTAACTTAAGTGCAGTGGACAGATGTGGGAACGTTCTAGTTTGTTGCTTTTGGTTCACACTTCCTTGTGTGTTTTCCTGCATTTCAACAGCCGTAAATGGACTCATGTACGGGAACCTTCTCGGACTGGACATGTGCGCCGGGGACAAAGTTATGTGGTACACCTTCGGCCTGGGCACCGAGGTGGACATCCACGGTGTTTATTTCGAGGGGAACACCTTCAAGAAGCAGGGCACCACGAGGGACACCCTCAACCTCTTCCCTCACACCACAACTACTGTGGAGATGCAGCCACATTGGGGGAAAACGGAACTCAGGTTACTCAGCATGAAAAAAATTTCCATTTGCAGTTGGAAATGGGGTAGAACTACAACATACTAAAAACATGTTTGTCATATTTTTACGTGATTAGGTGGAGGGTAAAATAATGTGAAAATATGATCTTGTGTTGGATCACATGATACCGTGATGGTAATGTTTTGACCTCTGTTCACATTATTGACAGAAGGGTGTGGACAAGGAGTTCTTTCTTCTGTTTTCTGTCATGGACGAAAACCTTAGCTGGTATTTGAATGAGAACATCGACGCATTTGGCACCAATGAGTCGAAAGTAGATGATGAAGACTTTCAGGAGAGCAACAAGATGCATGGTGAGCAGTTCATAATTGTGTACAGATGCCACAATATAGCGGCAACGCACTTCAAATGGTGAAGATCATAAAGCATCAACACCGTGCATCTAGCATGTGCACAACAGTGAACCCATGTTACATAAACGACTGGATGAAGTTTAAAGCCACATCCACAGTTGTAAGAGCGTGTGCACACTTGCACAATCACATAATCTCCATTGTTTACTTTTACTTCCCCTCGCTGAAAGATTTCAGTCTTTTCCATTGAGTTGTACAGATTTTTTTTGGTCTTTTTTTTATATCATAAAAAGCTGGCATTTGAACAGAGGTGTGTAAAAATGTTTATATCCATCATATTGGGGGAACACTGGACCTTTCTAACTTAAGTGCAGTGGACAGATGTGGGAACGTTCTAGTTTGTTGCTTTTGGTTCACACTTCCTTGTGTGTTTTCCTGCATTTCAACAGCCGTAAATGGACTCATGTACGGGAACCTTCTCGGACTGGACATGTGCGCCGGGGACAAAGTTATGTGGTACACCTTCGGTCTGGGCACCGAGGTGGACATCCACGGTGTTTATTTCGAGGGGAACACCTTCAAGAAGCAGGGCACCACGAGGGACACCCTCAACCTCTTCCCTCACACCACAACTACTGTGGAGATGCAGCCAGACACTCCTGGTGAGTCTCACAAACATGTACATGTGCGACACCACATCCTGTTTTTGGACTGAATGGGGAGGGGTCACCCATTCATCCAGAGTCTATTTGTCAAGCAGATATGTCATCGACAAAGATATATTTATGAAGATATTTAGATTTCCGGGGACAGGACGGAGATGTCCAAGTCCTTTATCTGGGAAACCACGGTATTCTGTAATTTCCTGAAATAGAAACATGTCAAGTATTTCCACCTATGCAAATGCGAGCGAATCTTTCCCGCACAGTTCAAGGAGAAGTCACACCATTAACCAGCAAGCACAACCAGACTGTCATAGAAATGAAACAAATTCAGTGAAAACAAAAACGTTTGACAAGGAATCACTGCATGTCATTTCAAAGCCTATATTCCACAAACTGTTTCCATAAACCCAGAAGCAAAGAATGAAAGATTCCCAGATACCAACTATGCTTCTTTTATTTCTCCGACAGACACTTACGAAGTGAGCTGCAGAGTAACAGACCACTACTCAGGTGGCATGAGGCAGCAGTACAGGGTAACCCGCTGCCCAGGTCGCAAAGTGAATAGCATGCATACAGCGCCGACCAAAACTGTTCAGTATTTTATCGCCGCTGAAGAAATCGAATGGGACTACTCACCCAGCAGGGAGTGGGAGCTTGAGAAACACCACAGCACATCAGAGGACAGGTATGCGAATCTGACATTTAGGACAAAATTTTCCGTACTACTGGCTAATGACTGAGAAAAAAAAAAAAATCAATCATTTTTTTTTTCAGTCCAGGCAATATATTTGTTGGGAAAGGGAAGAACCGAATTGGCTCACGCTACAAGAAGGTCGTGTATAGAGAATACACTGATGAAAGTTTTACAGTTAAGAAGAAGAGGAATCCCAGTCAGGAGCACTTGGGAATTCTGGGTAAGATTTGGATTCATTATAATCCAAAGAGTCTAATACACACATCTCACCTGGAATGGAAGGGAGTGGTTTAAGGTCATACCACGGGGCAAGAAAGTGCCTGTGTGAAAAGGAAATACCATAAGACTCGAGATCCACCTCAGCTCAAGTCACTGAGACCTGTCGGGTGCCTTTTATGCTGATTCAATCGGTAAAACTAGAACACATCTAAGTTGGAATTGTCTTTTTCCCCATCTAGGTCCAATCATCAAATCTGAGGTGGGGGAAAAGATTCTTATCATGTTCAAAAATAAAGCAAGGCATCCATTCAGCATTACTGCACATGGAGTTCAGACCTTTGGCCCTTCTCTTGCTGTCCAGTCTGGTAAGAATGCGAAAAAAAAAATAATAATAACATGTATTTGGCTTGTCATTGCTCATTGAGCGCTGAGAATTTTCTGTGATCAGGTTTCTTGACAATGGTGTCTTGGAATGTACCGGAAAGCTCCGGACCCGGGGACTCGGATCCGAACTGCATTTCCTATGCCTACTACTCTGACGTTGACTTCATCAAGGTACACGTTGCCTACATACAGTAAAAGTCACATGGATGCACAGGGTCTACGGTGCGTCGTAAGAATATGTTAATGATTAATTTCATGCAGATATCATGCGGAAGTGGCAATGAGACATATGGACAAAAATGTTGGGAGACAGCTCTTGATCGGTCAATGAATCAATCTGGGGTTTGACTCAACCCCTTCATTTTCCTGGAACCTTAACTTAAAGACCTTTGGAACAAAAAAAGAACAGAGATTGTGAGCCAACAGCAGTGTCCTTTAACCTGACAAATGTTTTTTTTTTTTTGCATGAATGGACACATACAGTATTCCCAAAGATCTGTTCTAGAAAATAAAATCATGTAGAAAGTCTTCCCTTGTGAGGATCAGTGCATTTGAAAATGGATGGATTGATAGATGGACTCTTCAAGCGAGCCAATACTTTTGTCCATAAGTGGAAGTTAAATATAACACCCAAGACGTGTTGAAAGAAAGTTAACGACGACGCATTTGTGCATGTTCAGGATTTATACAGTGGTCTTCTGGGCCCGCTGGTGGTCTGTAGGACCGGGACTCTGAGGGGTGAGGGGTCCAAACGACAGAGGCTCGACGTAGAGAAGGAGTTTGCGCTGTTTTTCATGGTGCATGATGAAAACCAGTCCCACTATTTAAAAGAGAACATCAGAACATACCTCGGGGAGGACCCTGACACCTTCACACCGGATGAAGAATTTGAGGAGAGCAACAAGATGCACGGTAAGAACCCTAGTTAGCATGTCTCCCTTAGTGTTCTGAGTTTGAATTTCAACCTTTCTATTTGGAGTTTGCAAACAACACAAGCACGGGGAAAACATGCAAACCTGACTTAGGAAGGCCGGAAGCCAGATTCAAATCCCCACCCTCAGAACTGTGAGGGAGACGCGTAAATCGCTCATCCACCGAGTTAATCGTATAGGTTTTAAATGGTGTAAATGTGTGTAATGTAGGGATTAATGGCAAACTCTACGGCAACCTCCATGGACTGGTGATGACCCAGGGACAAACGGTTGACTGGTATCTACTGGGCATGGGTAACGAAGTGGACATGCACACTGTACACTTCCATGCTGAGACTTTTACCTACAAGGTGAGTTTGCACACACCTTAAATCCGTCACATTAATTGGCTTTCATATCTTAATATTAATTCGACCACACAAATCAATATACAATGTCCTTGTTGGTGTCAGACCGATCGCGTGCACCGTGCGGACGTCTTTGACCTCTTCCCCGGGACTTTTCAAACTGTGGAGATGGTGGCTGGAAACCCGGGAACGTGGCTGCTCCACTGTCACGTGACTGACCATATCCACGCAGGCATGGAGACCACCTTCACCATCAATGGTAAATTAGTAGCACGTGTCAATTTCTTCTAACGTCCTTTGTACATGTATACATCACTGTTTCGCAATACTTGTATGAGAATATCATGTTAATCACTTTTTCTATTGCTGTAATGTGTAAAACCTGTTGCAGCTGCTGCTCCTGAAGGTCCCAGGCAGATCTTGTTCTTCTCCCTCACATTTGGACTTTTGGTAGCAGCTGGGATGCACTGACAGACTCTGGGAACTGTCGAAATACACTGGGTTAAAAAAAAAAAGGGGCAGAATCACACATGGCTATTTGTTTACTTGACGTTGTGCCTTAATGCAAATGTCAACCTTGTCCAAATATTTCTAAGATTGTGCAAATTCTAGTACAGTATATGTAATATTCCTTTAGAACTATTTTATATGTTTGGAAGCTTTCGCTGTTGTGTTATGTTCATTTGCTCGGCTGGGTTAGCAAAGCACTGCTGCACCAAATATTTTGATATGAATGTAACTGTACAATAAAATTGTTTTTGTCAAAGTTGAGTTGTGTTACTCAGTATTGCACACATTCACATCATGGGCGTCATTAGGCCTATTTTAGGGAGGCTTCAGCCTCCCTAAAAATGTCTTTAGCCCCCCTAAATAATTTCATTGCATTATTTTAGAAAAAGTATTATTTATTTTTCCTGTACTTTTGCTAATATATTGCATCAAATTCAATGTAATGTGGCCATTTTAAATTATATTTCGATAACCTGCCATTAGTGTAATATTAAATCTCCCAGGTTTCCTGAACGCAACAGGTGTTGAGTTAGCATTTGACGTGTCTGTCACCATCGCCACATCAAATGCTAACGCAACAACTGACAGTTCATTGCCGAAAGTCAGGTTGAGTCGACAGCATGGATATTCGACAGTTTTTTAGAAAGGTAAATTAAGTATTCAATGCATCCATGCTGGTAAAACTAGTGACTATAGTCCGCTAAAATATCTCCAGTAACAGCAGAAACTGCACTGTAACAAGTGTTCACTTTTGGATAAATTAAGGTGGTGCTTAATAAAAATTAAGCAACATTTTATAATTAACTACATAAATAATCATTACACCAACTCTTTGAGGCAACACCTATTGAGATTTTGGCCTATATAAAATAAAAAAATAAATATAAAATCAATTTATTTATTTGATAGGAATCAGGCTAAAGACGCACAGAGAGTGAGCCGGGGGGAGCTCTGCTGGACAGGTGAGTCTATCAGATCTCAAGGCTAATTTTACTTGCAAGGCTGTTCCCAAAATGCAATCGGAGCTTACAGTAAGTATTGAGCAGCCAACTTTTGTTTTTCCAAAGTGATGAAGCTTTTGCATCTCATTGTACTAACTTAAATTGCATATCACGGCAGACATCTCAAAATACATAGTCTTCTGGGGGCTCAGCATATATTAATACATTTTGGTAGAGAGGAATATAGGACTACTGTCATATAGGTTATGTTATCGGGCATCCTTTTAATTCCCTTGAACAACCAAGATTGAACTTTTGAACTCTATAATTTCTATTATCTAGTCCAGTTAAAGTCCAGGGGAGGAAGCCCCATCATAGTAAAGAGTATACGAATGTGATGTGTGTAGTTCTTCATAGCCTCTTCATTTTGCTCTCAAAGTGCACGGAATTTATGGATTTTTAACAGAATGTAGAAAAAAATTCTCCCGGGGGGGCATGCCCCCGGACCCCCCTAAAGGGGCTGTGTTCCCCTTGGGGCTAAGCCCCCCTTGTTCTTGAAACCTAGTGACGCCCCTGATTCACATTATGTGATTGTTTGACGTACTTCCACAGGATGGTGCTGCTTGTTACACTGACTGTTGATGCTGTAGTGCAGCATTTAGCAAATATAAGGTTTGATTTTAAAAAAAAAAGAAAGATGTGCTTTTCATTGGTTTGGAATTTATGTTTTTAATCAAAAATATATTTCAGTTTATAAAAATATATACAATCCTTACACTATGTATATTTATTACAATATCTATCCTCACTGGCGTCGCTCACTGGAGCCTATTTGATATTTAAAAAAAAAAAACTGCTCGATTAAAATGTTTTGCAGATAAAGGTTAAATAAAATATGTACCTCAAAAATATTTCAAATCAAACAGTTCTTAACAATAAATGAAGCTGTTTTGAAGTTAAAAGTTAAATACAACTGAATTGTGATTAGGCAGTGATTATTTCCCATGTCGCTTAAGGGAACCCCGTTCGTGGTACTCGTACCATATGTTGAGAATCACCGGCCTAGATTTTCCATGAACAATGTATATGTGAATGTCGAACGTCTAACTGCAAATTTGCTTTCCGTTGGATATTGGACTTTATCTAAAATAAAACAAAACATCTGTTTTATGAGCTGAAGGAAAGAAGCCACGTGTGACTCAATACTTGACTTGTTTGCAGTAAATACAGACTCGCCCAGACAGAAACTCGTGCCGTCTGATTAATCAATGACCGAGTGATCAAACGTGAATGGTTTGAGACACCACAGATGTTCATCACTGTAACGACACATCGTTGCATATCAATGGGTGTGACTGCAGACCACTCAGCGACTCATTTCCATGTTGATCACGGGTCAATGCTGTGACTAATTGCAGCCAGTAGTTTCAACAACTAAAATGTAAACCAGATTCAGTACTGTACCTCCAATTCAAGCAAAATTCCCGACACAACTGCAAAAACTAAAATCGAACTAAAATTAAGTATCTGAAATCAAAGCAAAATATGCTTGTTCTATTTATGCTACGATATTTGCTCTTACTAGGCAGTATTTTTGGAAGAGCATTTCACTTGCTTCAAGCATTTTTCCCCTCTTAAAACTATAATAAACCAGCTGTAAGAAATAATGGTTGTTGTTTTTTTAGACTACTGTACTTTCAGAAATGTTGCCCACTCAGAACTCCCCCATTTCCACTTCATTACGATTTTCAAGCACAGTTATTGCAGGGTAAATAGGACAAACATTTTACATAGGGAAGCAATTAATCAATCAGTTCCTGGTTTCAGTGCAGTATCGGTACAGATCCAGAGTCTGAAGAAGAAAAAAAAAATCACTCATCCTTATCTATAAGAATCCAATTATGTGTTAAGCGACAATTTGTCTGGCTTGATCGTGTTTCGATCTTGACATCACACATGACCCCTCAAGGAATGTTTTAAATCTCAAATGTTTTTATTTTCATTTTACAATTTCATGATTAGTCTAATCTTCAGACAGCAAAAACAAAGTACTTGTTGTGTCACAAACTTCAGAATCAATCGAAATATATAGACCCGCAGTTGTTTTTGTGGCGAGTTGTTTTGCACAGATAAAGATGTCAGTCAGACACTGGCCCATAGAGGGCGCACTACAACGGCCTTGTACGCCGGCCTTGTACAGCGTACTGTATATAAAGACACCCTTTGTAAATGTGGCTTTTTAACACACTAGAGGTGGTGCATACAGGCTGGGGAGGTAAGACTCGTGTTTGCATTATGGAATGATTAAACTGCATTGTACTTGACGGATGTGTTTCACTATTACTAATAAAAAATAGAAGTTTATTATCGTTATTGAACAGATATCCTATAGCCCTTTGTTTTACTTTAATTGTTTGGATAGGTGTTTCGGTTTTGGTATCACTTAGTTTGTATTTGTGTTTAGTTTATCGTTATTTTCTTCCGCATTAAGGATGAATTCAAGAGGGTTTATTTTGCATTTTAGAACATTTTAGAATCGCTCTCTTTCTCTAATATTATGACACCAAAACTTGACCCGTGATTACCTTCGTTTCCACTCAAAAGAATGCTTTTGTCTCCAGTAATTTGTTTGACTGGCGTTCCCTTTATGTTTTGAATGCACAAGATAACGGTAATTGCAGTGCTGCGGTTGAACGGGCCCCTGAGGACATTCAGGCAGGGAAGCAGAGGGGGGTTAGTGACTGAGGGGCCTCGAGGTGATGGGGTCCATCTTGGACCAGTTTCCCCTCTTTTATTCCCAGAAAACAACAGAAACTCATTGATTTCACTGTAGGTGCTCACTCAGTTATTATGGAATAGAACGGAGCAGGCCAGCAAAGTGTTGTAAATGAATAATTTTCCATTAGTCATTTCTGTACTGAGCATTATTAACTCGTACTGGTTTGGTGAAATGTTACATATATATTCTTGAGAGATGACATTAGAATGCTTTATACGCATGCAACACATTTGGTTATCTTGGGGCGGGGTTCAAAGTTAATTGTTGTTGTAAAAGTTGCCCTGACTGGCCTTTAGTGTCCTGCAGCGATAGGCCGACTATAAAACCTTCCCCTCCCCTCATGCCTTTGTCTTTTCCCAGATAAAGTGATCACTGATCCTTCATCGCGAGCGCCGGTCAACGAGGCGACAACAGCCAACTCCCTCTCTTTTGCCCTCCTTGGGACCCTGTAGTCTCTCTCACTTCTCTAGCTCTTTCCCACTCTCTGCCTGCCCATCTTCATTCCCTCAACCATGGCCCCGACGCTGGCCACGGCATTTGCCCGCCGCTGGTGGATGGCGGTGACTGCCATCATTGAGAATCTCCTCTTTTCTGCTGTGCTCCTGGGATGGGGTTCGCTTCTCATTATGCTCAAGTCAGAAGGCTTCTACTCGTACCTTTGCAGCGATGAAGGTGAGTGACTGCTTAATGGCATAGCTTTTTCGTGTGGGAACAATATCGGTTTTACTATTTTACTGCTGAATTAGGCATGTTAACCTGAATGTTATCTCGTGTTATTGAAAAGCACCATATAACTGTTATTTGCATGCCGGGAGTGTAGCTGGCGATGTCAAGCACATCAGCTGCTTGTCCTCGCCAGTCTTATCCCAAACTATCTTTTTGCATAGCCTTGCTTAACCTACATATGTCTTTAGAATTTGAAAGCATGGACGTATTGTCATGTGACTGGCTTAGGCAGGGCACACACATACCTATTTTCAACATCTGAACAAATTTTTGTAGCTTCTGCTCATATAGGGCCTGATTTACTAAGATCCCAAATAGCGCGCACCAAATTGAATTGACTCATGATCATACATTAAATGCTCTGTGGGCAAACAGGTTAAAGTGCTGGAGATCTTCATATTTAAATGAGGGTTTTGTGCTTTCGGTTTTCCCCAAGGCACATTTGGGAGAGGCCCACAAGCGCAAAATGAGTTTGAAGAGATGGAATTGGAAGTGCTAGTGGAAGAATTATAGAAAATAAATCTATCACTCTGATCATTTTGATGAAGCCAGCAAGAGCATAAAAGCCATGTTTTGTTTGATTTAACTCGAGTGCTCATCCTGCGCCACATCATGTTGTAAACTATCATCAGCAAACTGCTCTGGGAGAGGCCAGCATCAAATGTCACGGTGGACTTAAACGGCCCAGGCAGAAGCAGTCTCATTTAGGTCAGACGTATCCCCCGAATCCTCATTGAAATGCAAAATAATGTCTTGCCCTATGAACGGCATGTGGCTGGTGACCAAAGTTGACTATTGGCTGGTCAGATTGTTTGTTTCAGCTATCGTCTACACAGTCTTTACAAAATTGATTTCTCAACTGCATGATATTCAGAAGATGCAGTTTCGTCTCATAGGGTATTTCTGGTTGAAAGTGTCCCAAGATTGCAAAAAAATGGTATTTAGTGGGCACTGACCACAGTAAATATTTGGCCTTCACACCTTTACAGGTAACTTCCGCAGTGATGATACAAACGTCTTATCACTCGCCCGATGATGTAAGGAGATGATGGCAGCACCAGCTCAGCTCTTTTTTAGGCATGTGACAGGTGATAGCGCGACACAGGAAAGCACGAGCAGCACTTTATTAGCGGCCATACGGAAGTTTAAAGTCTGCTGATAAACACCAAGGAGGGAACAACAGGCTGATAGGAAAAGTGATGAAGAGTCGGAATTAGAGAGAGCTGACAGTAAAAACAAAATAGAGAAATCAATGATCATCATGAAGTGATATGACATATGCTTTAGCTAGCCGACCTGATTCAATTTAATCTCCGATTAAATAACGGTCAACTGAAACACTTGCTATGGATCTAAAAAAAAATATATATAAAAAAAAAAGGCAAAAAAAAATCTATTTCACACAAATACAAGTGATTCACAGAAATTCCTGATTATGGTATATTGGACTTACATTTTCAGGTAACAGCTCCAGCCACAATATGTCCCTGGGGATGACGCAAGAATCGGACGAATACATTTACGACGATGAAGGCGATGAAGGCGCCGTGGGTGCCCTGGGGGGCGGGGTGGAGATGACGCCCCTGGTCCCGCTGGACGGGCTTCTGAGGATGAACGGCTGGCTAATCTGTAAAGAGCAGGATGAGATGTTGAATCTGGCCTTCACTGTGGGCTCCTTCCTCCTCTCTGCTATCACGCTGCCGCTGGGAATCGTCATGGACAAGTATGGGCCTCGTAAGCTGCGACTGTTGGGCAGGTGAGTGCCAAATGAAGATTATTTTCACTAACAACAAAATATTTGAACTTGAAGAATGAATAGACGTGCTTGGCTTTGTTGTGGAACCTCGAATAGCAATTGTGAAGCGAAATTTAAATTTCTAAACCCCGCCGCGGAATTACACAGTCTTCAATCACTTTTTCATATTTGGGATCATTTAAGTTTTTATCGTTTTCTGAAGGTCATACTTCTCAAAGGTGTTTTTAATTTTATACAAATGTTTTCAGGAACAATTTCTCTGCGGTGTTTTTATTTTTAGAATTGCATAGCGGCCATTTAAAATGCTCTCGCGGCCGTATATGGCCCACGTGCTGTAGCTTTCTCCACCCCTCATCCTATCTCAAAAGAGGTGCGACAAATTCTGAAGGAGAAAACATGTTTATTGTCCTTTCAGCACATGCTTTGGCTTGTCTTGTCTGCTAATTGCTTATGGAGCCTACCAACCAAACGGTAATGTGCTACATATATACACAACCCTACATCCGTATTTGTTCAGTTACTATTTGTCCATTGACAGACCAATTAACTTTTTTGCCTTCTCATTTCACAGAACTCTCAGTGCTTATCTTTATCGCGCTGACTTTCAATGGCTTTGGTGGCATGTGCATGACCTTCACCTCTCTCACGGTAAGCATGTGGGAAACTACTCATCCTGTACGCCCACGGTGTGCACATTTATATAAAAACAGTTTCTCCTCTACAGATGTATAACCATAAGAACATGTATCCAGTGACATTCATTGTCAGGGTGTCTTTCACTTTCTGAAACTGGGAAATGTGATGTAATGCTTTTGCTCAGCTCGAGGATTAAAATCTAGCCACATCCTTTTTCGATTGCGCATTTTTATTTGGGTCACAGCTAATCGGAGTTTACCCCACCTGACTTTGGACAAGCGGCATGGTGTAGCCTAAACTGGTTCCCACAAGACACATGTAACAGACAAATGGACAATTTAGTCTTCAACCCAAACCAGAACCTCTCAGCTGTGAGGCAGAATTGCTAACCACCAACCAGACATGCTAACCACTATGCTAACCACCATCCACCAATTTGTCTGACATTAATCTAAAACTTGAAAAATTGTGTGTCTGATACCACACCATCAAATAAATTTTGTCAAATGTCCACCCCTCAGTAGAAGTCTTATTTACCACTTAAGGAGTATGCAAATTTAGGATGAAGTAACAAACAGTAAAAAAACAATTGTGCACCACTTCCAGTCATTCTTGTTGTTGCAGTCAGAATTGCTTTTTCTGGAAATTAAACATGGCTCAGAGCCAGAGTGGAAAAACAATATTTGATGCTTTTGAGAATTCCCACTTCAAACCAGTACTCTTTTCCCTTTTGTTCCCCACCTCTGCCAACATTGGGGCGTATAAGGAAGCACACAGTCCAAAACTGTACCATGGTGATGCTGTTCACTGCAGAGGGGTTCTTGTAAATCTGCCTATACTGTACAATGTCTCCGATACTGTATGTAATAAATAGAGCTCTCTTGTACATGTACATTATACACTATCTCACGGCCCCCTTCCACTTTTGTCCTTTACACACCCAATAATAAGAAGAAAACAGTAAGTGTTTGGTTGATTATTACGTGACTCCACCTCAGACTGATGCAAGCATATAATCGTATGACCTTTAAGGTCTTGGGCAATAGCCAGTAGCTATCACTGGCTCATCGCCACGGAGGCACCCTTCTACTTTCTCTCCTTTCCCATCTCTTATGTAATTCAATGTGCTTGTTGTTGTTCAGTCTCTCGAAACAGAAGAGCTTGTTAATGTCTTTAACTTGGAATGGTTGCCGCTCACGTTTCTCACTTTCTTTGATGTTGGAACTTAAAATATCCCTGTAACAAATGAGCCTTCTGTCCCGTCATATTTTTTCGCTTAAAAATAATGCTTGGCTGTGGAAAATATGCCGTAGACCTTGAGCAGTGCCTCAAAGGATTTTGCTCAAATGCTTACTGTGCCAACTGTCTGTCTCTTTCACCAGTTGCCAAACATGTTCGGGGACCTGCGTTCCACCTTCATCGCCCTGATGATTGGCTCCTATGCCTCCTCTGCTGTCACCTTTCCTGGCGTCAAGGTAAAATAAAAAAACAAAAACAAAAAACAATCTGATTCAATCACCCTTCAATCAACATCATCATCACATGGTTCTGTCCTTTTGCGCAGGTGATCTATGACTTCGGCGTACCATTCATTACTATTCTGGTCGTGTGGGCAGCTTGTGCTGGACTGGTCTTCCTGAACTGCTTCTTCAACTGGCCCCTGGAACCTTTCCCAGGACCAGAGGATATGGACTACACGTGAGTATTGTCCTAGATATACACAGTGACACACAGGAAATATGTATAAGTCACCTGCAAGCAGTACAGACACCGTTTCAAAGTTACAAATGGAACGCAGACAACTGGTTTGTGCAATATCTACGACAGACCTTATGTAGTATCTCAATGTCCAGTGATGAGTCCAATGTAGTTGAAATTGAAATACTGTACTTCAGCGATAACAGTTGCATGAACTTCGAACGTGATAAAAGCTTGTCCTTACAAAGCTTCCTGCTCCCCCACTGTTATTTCTCAGTGTCAAGATCAAATTCAGCTGGCTGGGCTTTGACCACAAAATCACCGGCAAACAGTTTTACCGCCAAGTGACCACAGTGGGCCGTCGTCTCAGTGTGGGCAACAGCCTGGTGCAGAAAGATCTGCCTACCAAGGAGGGCAAGCTCTGCCTGTCCACCATGGACCTGGAGTTGGACGAGAAGCCCAAAGAAGAGTGTAGGAGATGCGGTCTTCGTTCGCTCACCTTCATCGTGCGTCGCTACTTCACTTGAATGCTAATGTGCCATCTCCTCGGTTCTGCAGCTCAGTCATTCCTGAAAACTATCACCACACCCATCTTCCTGCTCAGCCTGGTGACCATGTCGGTCACTCAACTGCGTCTCTTGTTCTACATGGGGGCCATGAACAGCGTCCTCGAGGTGCTCAGCGATGGTGACCTCAACACAGGTTAGCCTTGTTGTGTGGAATCGATCGGTCGCCCAGTCTTGTGAGAATTGAGTTGGATATCGTCTTACTCCTAAATTCTCACAGGATCATGATGATGATGATATTTTTTTCATCAATGTTGCTCATCTAATAGTTAAGGTTGTAGAATAATTGCTGTTCCCAATCTTTGGTTTTCAGTGGAAAGAATGGAACTTGGTAAGATTGCAGATTATTCAGTCACCGTTCTTTCAATGCCGTATCCAGGCACCGTCCTTTCAATAACCTAGCATTTATTTAACATTTAGCACTTTAGCACTAACAGCAACATTCTGGTCCCTGTCTACACCCTCTAACATCCTGCTATTTCTTCATAGCTGATATTATAACTTCATCGTTTTGACCTCGACTGTGAGGCATGTTTACAGCGGAGTCCTTCAGGCATCATTCAGCTTTAGCTCGAAACCACCACTAATCAAAGATTGTAATTATTAGCTGAATTTGCCCTCCCAAGTACACATCACATAAGCACCTTTGCACTTACTGTACCTCCATGAGAGAGCGCTTCATAAATTTCCCTTTTGAATGGGCTTTTGCGCTGTTCAAGAATGGACTACTTCCTGCTACATACTAATAATTAACTACATCCTCAGACTTCAGTTCGTATGAAAACAATCCATAACGCCGTTCTTCCATCAAATGACAGCCTATAGCGCCATTATTTTTCCTGTGTCTTAATATTTGTGCCCTGATCCTCACAGTGAGTTTGTACTCGTCCATCTTCGGAGTGCTTCAGCTGCTTTGCCTCATGACCACTCCTGTGATTGGTCAGATTATGGACTGGAAATTGAAGGACTGTGACGACGGAGAGGAATCAAAGAATGCGTCCAGCAAGTGAGTTTTAGTCACGTGGCTATAGACTTCTTCGTTGTGTATAATTACGTGAACAAATTTACACATAAATGCCCGATTGAAATGCCATGAAGCAAAATTAATGAGGATATCATCACTAGGGATGAACCAAAGAAAAAGCGAAGAGACAGAAAGACTCAGAAGGTGACCAACGCCCTGCGAGCATTTGTGCTAACGAATTTCCTTTTGGTGGGCTTCGGGATCACTTGCCTGATACCCAACCTCCCCCTCCAGGTGAGCAGTGTTTTTGAGATTTGTCTTTTCTTAACATCAACAACTGGGAGAACCCGCATGCCCGAAACACACTACAGTAGATGTCAACACAGAAGCCGAAGTCATTAAATATTTATCCTGGGTTGTAGCAAAAATTTTCCCTTTATTCTTGTTTTTTTTTTTTTAAAAATCACCAATCTTTGCTTCACTCCTGTTTCAGATCGTGTCATTCATCTTGCACACTGTCGTGAGAGGATTCATTCACTCGGCCGTTGGTGGCCTGTACGCTGCTGTGTAAGTTTTACTGCGTGACTATCTGAACCTAACGTTGCTATCGAGCGATCTCATCTTTCAAAGCGTGTGCTAAATGCACCTGTTTTATTACCCCAGGTACCCCTCCTCGCAGTTTGGCAGTCTGACAGGCATGCAGTCGCTAGTCAGTGCTGTCTTTGCTCTGCTGCAGCAGCCCCTCTTTTTGGCAATGATGGGACCCCTGGCGGGAGACCCATTCTGGGTCCGTAATTACACACACCCATATGCACATATACAAAACGTTCCGGGCGCAGCTAACGCTGATGTCACCCTCTCCAGGTCAACATCGGCCTGCTCGGCCTCAGTATGCTGGGCTTCCTGCTGCCTCTCTACCTGGTTTGCTACAGACAGATGCTCCACAAAGAGAGGCACGAGAAGGAGAACAACGCCAAGATCTACATCAAAATCAATGGCTCGGACATTCCGGAGGCCTTTGTTTAATTGCACAGAAAAGTGGAAACATGATGGAAGAATGATGAGAGACTGCGCATCTTGAGTTGTGCCACGCACATGCGTGCAAACTGACAATTTCTGTTTATTGATAACATTCTTATAGCATGCTAACACCACCACGCTTTTATTTAAACTTTGTTGCTTTGGAAGTCTACCACCCAACTGTAAAAAGGCTAAACGAAGCGGAAGAGGAAAGACTGTGAAAGGAAAGAGGCATCAGCACTCTGCATTCCCCCATTCCTCAACTTTATTTTGGTCACTCTCTCACACAATTCCACATTATAACAGCTTTTGTCCTATAAAACTGCTCACATAATTTAATGCTCAAATCTTCTTTAGCAACCATAGTGAGTGAATGTGCGGGAGGAGAAGGGCCACAAAATGCACTGTGAGAAAGTTGTAATGTTACGAGAGAAAAAAAAAACAGTAATGGTATATTACAAGAAAAAAAGATTTGTCATTGGACTGGTAGTCGGATGAAAAATAAAGTGGTAATATTGCGAGAACTGCACACTCAGAAATCTTTTTGTTTGTTTGTTTACAAATACTGAATGATATTAATCACATTTTGACATTTAATTGTTAACTTTCTCTCGTGATATTTTGACTTTATTCTCAGAATTGTACAACTATTGTTTCAGTATGGCCCGAATACGCCTTTTCAAGTAATTTCAAAATTGTTGTGTTTGTTGTTTGGGATTTTTCTAAGACTGAACTCATTTTCAGACCACCTTGTGTTTCTCTGGTCATTTTTGAATGTAGCCTACCTTTCCCCACATTTAAGTGGCTTACATTGTTTTCAAGTAGGAACAGTACTGTAGATGTATGTCAGGGTCTTTCAGGCTTGCTGAACAAAGGACATCACGCAAACTGCATTTTTGGTATTGCTACAGGCAGAGTAACCATTTGAATATTTATTTTGTGTCATACCTTCTTTAGTTTTTTTTTTTTATGTACTTTATATCTGCCCGATGTGCCTTTTGAGTCTAAATAAAGATACAATTGCTTATGAATAACATGAGAATGACATTTATTCTGCTGAGCTTAAACATTAATATTTAGATACTAGATGCTCCAAAAGATCCCAAAATTTACAAACGAGAATGTTGTCATTTCTACTCTAATCTATCATTCGCGTGCATTGAGATGCAGCCCCAACTTTGTTTTGAACTCAGCTCACATTCACATTTCTTGTTTTTTATTCATTGATACATAATTTTGTGTTCATCTATAGTGACGCCTGCTGGTTCAAATCGGTTATTACCGAGCTCAATCCTTTCTGCTGTTTCTCATTATAAATCGTGAACAATTCGAGCAAGCCCAATAGTAATAATAAAGTACGTGATTATTATTCTGTATATTCAAGAAGTGCAAAGTGCAAAAACATGCATATACAATAGCTGGAAAGAGATCCAAAAATGAATTTAAAAATGTAAATGAAATTTGGGGTTTATGTTGTTTATAGAGTAAAAAAAAATGTTCACTCTACAAATAGAAAAATAGCATCAGAGAATTTTACAGCGGTCTCTGGATTGCTGAGAAGTACAGTATATGTGCTGCATGTATATAATATAGTTCCTGTAAGCATACTGATAAATGTAAGCGTGGTTCTCATTGTAGAGAAAGTTGGAAATGTTTCAAATTTTGAAGTTTCCATTTTTCTCCCAAGAAAAAAAGACAGAAAAAGGCCCATCCAGAGAAGAAGTTATGGAAATAGTGTACACACTGTAAACGTGACTAACTGCATGGATGGTGCTACCGTAATTATTATAAAACACTGTCTGAGTTTTTTTCAAGCAAAACTCAATTTTCCAACGTCTGATATGACTGCAGGGGTATAAGAGAAATATTACCATATTTGTAATATATCCTCACCCACACATGTCAATCTGAATGGGCCCATAGTTGGTCCTATGATCTTCTGACTTGACCACATTTCATTGTCTTCCCGTGACCTCTCATATGAGCGTTTCAGTAGGGTACAACGTGTTTGTCCTCATTAACGTCACAAAAATAATATACTGTACATATACATCCACAGATAATACATAAATATTTAACTAAAAAATTGTGTATTATATGTTCGGAATTAAAATGATAATATCACACATCACAATAAATTTGTACAGGATGCTCAGATAACTCGTTTTACCACCGATGCTTATTACAGAATCAGTACACAGTAATTATTCAAAGTAAAGCCAATTTTACATTTCGGACAGTGTAATGATTTAAAGAGAGCAAATGAGGTTACCCAAAGATCTTTGTCGCAGAATTGAAATTTTACGAGGTGCCCAAAATGCAACACAGAAAAATTCCAAAGCCTGACCGTGTTGCTCAACTATTATGGGCATTACGGCTTCTTCGAGGAGGTTCTGTACGTGGCAGCGACCTACTCTCGCACCCCCTCGTCTGTCCTCTTCATCCCGAGGTGCGAAACTATTCACGTTTCTCATTGTGACATCCGTTTTCGAACCCCAAGAGACGAAGGTAAGACCGCGCAGATGATTATCTCCAAATACCCCCCCGCTTGCCACTCTTTGCAATTCTGTTTGCGCTCAGTTTCATTGCGAACATGCTGGGCACGGTTTCCTCCCACAAGGTCCAAGTGGGAGCTTTCCTTACAAGCCTGGGAACAGGAGTTCGTGTCGTAGTAAGAATATCGAATAACATGGACTTGTGTTATGCACCTGCCTGATCGTTTCCGACATGTTTGTTTGCTTCGTACAATGTAACTAACCGGAGGGATCTCGTTGTCATGTTTTACTTGGCCAAAGAAAAAGTTTGAACGACTTTGCGCCAGAGCAACACACACATGTTCATCGATACGACATTAGTCAGGAGTAGGTCTTTCTTACCATATTACACACCCATATTTAGAACACAAATGTTGCTGTTGTCACTGGAAAGTACTTTATTTAATTGTATTTTTTTTTTTTTTTTACTCACGCGACACGAACGAGCTGCCGCGTTGGGATGCCTCCAGTCTAGAAACTACTGTCGCGGTGACGTAAGATAGGGGAGGGTCTTTTATCACTTTTAATCAATTTGTTAAATTTTATACATTTTTATTTTAACTTCAACGTTTTGGATTCATGGGACGTTGAATCTGATGGTAAAATATATCACAAAAAATATAGTGTTCACGACAATGCAATCTGTCTCGTTTTAGACAATTTGTAATATTACGTCAGTGCAGGCCTCGGTAATATTTATTAGACTTGGGACAGTTTTCTAAATAATTCTCGGTGTTTACATACCACTAAAAGCAATCCGACAGGCTCTGACACGTGTGCAAGGATGTTCATCCCACCATGGATCCCCTCTCCTGATAACAAATGCATGCATGACATATATTTATGTGAGCAGGACGTCCACAGGAATTTCTCCAGCCTGCTTCAGTATATTTGCAATTGTGAACGTTACAAATATGTGGCGAGATCCACCTCACGGGTGTTTTTCAGAACTTGAAGTGCAAGTTGCCATCATGTAAGATGTCATTAAATCTTCAATTAGAAACGAAAATCAGTTTTGCCAAGCAAACACATTCCTGTTGACTCTTTTATTTATCTGATGGCATAGGGCAAAAGGCAGTAGTTTTACATTATTGTAGTTTTATTATCCACTGACATTGCAATATGCATTCTTTTTATACTTGTATAATATCAGGAAGTTAAACTGTTACTTCAATCATTATCAGAAGAGTTAACTAAGAGTATATCAGCTTGGAACAAATGAATTCGTATGGCAACATTTGTTTTGAGAACTGCTTGGAAGTCAACCAGCATCGCAGAATGGCGGTCAGCTTTGGAGGTTCCGCTGGACTGTATTTTCCACTAAAACAGAAAGTTAGTGTGAAAATTCCCCTTACTAAATTATATTTCATTCGCCTTTTTTTTTTTGCTAGGTTTAGTCAATGTTTAAATAGGGTCATGTAACAATGACACATTGATTCACTTAGCTTAGCTTATCTCATCACATTTTTACCAGCTGAATAAAACAAGATCCTCTGAGGAAAAAGTCCTCCCTCCTTCCAAAACACACATTGCATCCAGATTTGATTCACTGAGTCTTGCTTCATGGGATTATGTTTTAATTCCAGAAATATTCAGGACTAAACACGCAGAATAGTACAACAATGAAAATTTATCGTGTAAGATGAAGGTTGCAACACAAAAATCTGGGATAGCATGCATTTCTCTTTCCTCTCATAACTTGTTATATCCTGCTCTGTTCTGTCATAAAAGCCGCCTTAGAATCAGGGTTTAAAAGACAGCAGAACTATTTTCAGGAATGTGTGTCCGTTGTATTGATGTCAAGGAAGAGCAAACTATGCACGATAAAAGAATTGATGATTCTTGTCGTAATTTGTGGTTTTGTCGGAATTTGTGGTTGGATTTCTTAGGTGACAGTTATCAAGCCAACTTAAAAGCACAACTGGGAAAACGACGATAAAAATAATGCAGCTAGCTCAGGATCACATGAAGAAATCTCTTCATAGACAGTTTAAAAAAACCAAACTACCATTGTGGCTTCTAGAAATGGGAAATAGCCATTTAGAAAGTGGCCTTGTGTCGGAGCATGACCGGTAATGCGTTTACTGCCCGGGCAAGTGTATGCACTGTGTATACACAAGCAAACCAGCCACAAAGCACCATGCATGACTAACCAATGGTTAATCTTTTTAGAAAACAAATGCCAGTTTTTGCTGGAAAGAGCTCAATATGCACAAGAGCTACAATAACAGCTTCAAACTCCCTGACAGCTAGTTCGGGGTCTATCAGTCTAAGGCTAACACATAAAATAAAACAATGAGTTGAACACGCTAGCGCTAGTTGGTCTTTTTTAATTTTTTTTTTTTTTTTAAGCGATAACGCTCATTATCGTCCCTCTTGATGCTTAAATCAAACTACGTGTATGTAGCGTCCAAAAATATACCACAAGAAAACATGCCAACAATTTATTCCGTACAATAAATCTTGCATTAATGTTTGTCTTTGTAGGTTACTGAATGAGACAAAATGAGGTTGTGCCTGTGCCTTGTCTCCTGGGTTCTGCTATACTGCGGCTCGATCACGCAAGCGGAGATCTTCACTTCTATAGGTGGGTGCGCAGATTGCACGGCGACACTAAAAACGAGCCGTCGTTTTCCCTTCTTGGTTGGTCGGTTCCAATATGACGCTTGCCAGCACAAAGCAAAGCGGTTTGTTATTCCACCTCCTGGCAATAGCGATGAATTTATCATGGTTGAGCAATCCCATGGAATTGTCCTCTTCTCTGCACCAGCATTCAGAATTCTGCACAATGACTGGATGCCTGCAGTTGTTTATGAAGCATGCGCTTCAAAAGATGATGGCCATTGGCTGCTCTTTGTTGTGACACTCGGTCCAGCCTGGAAAGATGTGCGTCTTCTTAATGTCTGCAGGCCAGATGACGGACCTCCTGTACACAGAGAAAGAGCTGGTCCACTCCCTCAGAGAGTACATCAAAGCGGAGGAGTCGAAGTTGTCTGAAATCAAAAGGTACAGTGCGCAAATCATTAAATATCCTTGTAAAGAAAACCAAATGATGATGACGACGATGATGAGTTGGCAGTGGCAGGTCAGGGCATGGCGGTGATAGTTGGAATTCAAGTTTTTATTGCTGCTGCAGTTTGGTGCTGTAAAAACAAAGACATATCACTAAAATAATCACTGGAGGGAGGAAAAAAACCCATCTGTTGCTTTAAGGTATCCAAAAAAAAGTGTTGGATCAGGTTCTCAAATTTCTTATTGTAGTTGTATAGACCTGTAACATCACCTTGAACTCATGAAAGCATCTTGAGAGTAATATTCGGGTTTGACTCTTGCTCAAGCTGGGCCAGGAGGCTGGACGACCTGACCAGAGTGTCCACATCCGATCCAGAAGGCTATCTGGCTCACCCGGTGAATGCCTACAAGCTCATGAAGAGACTCAACACCGAGTGGTCCCATCTGGAGAGCCTGGTGCTGCACAACCCGTCGGATGGTAGGAAATA